CTTGAATTTATTGCAACAAAAGTCATATTCAGCCAAACATACCTACCTTTTTGATGGAAATCTTTTTTGAAAACTGTGTTTTCTTTGCCATTTTAAATTCATTTTTGGTCATGATTTACTCTGAATAACTGCTGTCACACTAGAAATATCTGAAACCAGCTATATGCTCACAGGAGAGAAGAAAGCACCATTTAGGAAACCCGAGTTCTAGTCCTGCCACTAACTGGGTGACTTTGGGCAAGTTATGCCCTCTCTCAGGGATTCAGGGTCCTTATTCATAAAAGAAAGTACATTACTTGAACATTTAGTCTAAATTATTTCTGTTGCCCTTTTCATGTTTCTGATTCTAATTCACTCTCAAACTTTCAATAATGCTTAAGGATCATAACAAGAACAAGTAGGGCTTTTCAGAACGAAAGAAAACTTTTCTGAAATGAATACTTCTTGGTAAAAATTTGTAGGAAATACCAATCAAGGCTTGTTTGTAGGGTTTGCCCACTGGATTCACTGGATTGCCTAATAAGAAAAAAAAATTTTTTTTGAGAGGCACTGGGGAAAGATACTGCTGTAATATGATATTTTGGACCAGAAAAATTTCTTTCAATTAGGCCTTTGTTTAAAAGAGGAGAATATGTATTCACTCATTTATTGTACAAATAGTCATTGAGTACCTGTTGTAACAGCAGGCATTGAAGTAAGCTATGAGAATACAACTGTGAACGGGACAGAGTACTCATTTCTCATGGGATTTAGCAGGCAGAAAAGACAAACAGATATGCAAGAAAATTATAGATTGTGGTAACCACCATAAAGGAAGAAAGAGAGGGCATACATGAGAGGGTGGGAAACTATTTTGGTTATGGGAAGCAGGCAAAGGACTCTAGTGGGAGGTAGTGTTCACCCTGAGGTCTAAGGAATAAGAAGGAACAGGTCAGGGAGAATCAGAGAAGTGTTTCAGAAAGATGCATAGCTGTTACGCTGGGAAATGAAATGGAGGCATTTGGATGCCCAGAGAGGGTTGATAGGGTCTTGGACTGGGGCTATAATAGTAAGGTAGAGAGAATTGAACCAGATGGGAAATGCAAGGAGATATAATTGGAGAAACTTGGTAATGGATTGAATCTAGGAGGCAAGAAATAGGGAAAAATAAAAATATCTGGGTTTTTGAGTTAAGCATTTGTTGTTATTTACTGGGAAAGGGGATTGTTAGGGAAGAATGAAGTTCTTTGGAGGGAAGAATCAAGAATTATGCCTCAAATATATTGTGCTTCATAGGCTTTTCAGGGGAGTTGTCAAGTAGGCAAAGAGACACGTACTCTAAAACGCAGAACTTGATTTACCTGAGAGGCAAGGAAGTTGTTGGAGTGCATAGGTGACAGTCATGCCTTGAACTGAGACCATCTTGACTAGTGTTCTCAACTTCGGCTGCATGAAATGGATCATATGATGCACTTTTAAAATATGACTTTTGAGAGTATTTATCCTGGCACTTGAGATAACTGTTTCCCAAATCCAAGTGCGTGTGTACAGATCCCAATTTTGTCTATAGCTCCTGATTCCAGTTTCCTGCCAATGTAGGCTATTGGAAGCAGTGGTGATGGCTCAGGTAGTTGGGTTTCTGATACCCATATGGGAGACATGGATTGTGTCCTGGTTACAAGCTCTAGCCCTAGCTCAGCCCTGATTATTGCAGACATTTAAGCAGTGAATCAAAATATGGACTACACGTGTGTGTGTGTGTGTATGTGTGTTTGTGTGTTTTGTCTCTTTATCTCACTTTCTCTCAAATAAAAGTAAAATAAAATAATGCTTTCTCCCAGTATTCACTCCCAGAAATTCTTTGTGAGGCCTGAACAACCATGTTCTTCAAAGCTTCCTAGAGAGCTTTCTTTGCACGGTGGGAGATCCACTGCTTTAAGAGGATTTGCAACTGAACTTTCACATAGTCTCTAGTAACAGGTGCTCCATTCTTTCTTCTTCTTCCCTCTTTGGAAGATCTACCCACTGGCCTTTTGATGATGGTCCTTGGTGCTCCCTGACCAAGTATCTTGTCCTTGGTTTCAGTCAGTGTGTCCGTTGTTTGCCGTCTTCTTGATTTCTGAAGGTGCCTTTTCAGTGCTGAGGATTTAAGTGAATCTTCTTTTCTTCTTTCAGCCCATCGTTTGAATGTTACCCTGATGTGGTTTAGTGGTAGTGGGTATTTGTCATGGTTGAAAGATGAAGAACCTGCTTGAGTTTTGCTTTTAATTGTACTGTAGGAATTTTCTTGTGGTTGCAGTGGTTGCTGTGAAGGGGTAGACATCTTCAGGGAGAAGTGTGTGTGTGTTTTGTGTATGTGCATCTGCAGAGAGATGTTTCCTGATGTCAGCAGAGTCTGGCTAGCTTCCTTTGAAGATGACTTCCAAAAGATCATTGAAACTTTAGCATTTTACCTGCTCCTAAATTTTTCACACTTCCCAGTGCTACTCCCGGTTGTTTACCCATGCCTGCACTTTCCTATTACTCCTTAAAGTGCTGGGTTAAGAGAAAATAAAAGTGTACGCAGCTATCCATATGCTGAGCTCACGTCTTATCCAGCCTTCATGAAAACCTAATGAAGAGGCTTTACGTACAAATCAGAGGAAAACTTATTAAATTTTGTTGTGACCCATGGCCCACATAAAGTCTCAGCACATAAAGGAACCATGCAAGTTTCTGTAGCCCTCCCCTTATCCCTTAGGGGATCTGGTGTTCCAAAAATATAGCCTGTTAAGAAAAATAACTTCCAAGGACAATTCTATAAGCTTTCTTGTTCATGTTTACAGCTGTATCAACATAACACTAACATTTTGTGTGTGTGTGTGTGTGTGTGTGTGTGTGTGGTGGGGGGAATGGAGAAAGAGAAATACTATATAATTCTCTAATTGCTAGACATGGCGAAATGTATTGATGGGAGTTGGTGAGCTAGGCTGCAGCCATTTGTTTAGGGTAATGAGTGAGTTATTAACTTTGTAATTGAATCCTTGCTGCTACTTCTGCTTATGTTGAAAACCAGCCGTGGCACCTCACTGAGATTAGTTCTTAGGTGTCTTACAGTACTACAGTCTGGTTATTTTTAGTCTTACATAGCAATTGTGGAGAGTAGAGAATGTTAGAAAGCCGACACTGATGGAAGCACGTGATGAACGAAAGCTCAGTCAACTTGGACTACACTATTCTTATCAATAACTGAGAACTACAGGCTAATTGTCTTGCTTCTGCAAGCATTGGTTTCTTTATTTGTTAACACCTTACTTGTTTGGCTTAGGAGCTGTTTTGGATCACCTCTAAAAGTCTTTGAGGGTTTTAAAAATCTCTTTGCAATCTGTCTAAAAATTCATAAATACAGAGGAAAACAACTAATAAACAATGAATTTCTCCAGTTTTTCCTGGTCTTTTTTTTTTTAAACCAGGTCCAGTCCTTCTAGCAGATACCCCAAATTTGCACTGGCAGGAAATAGGGTAGTGGGTGCATTTCAGTTAATGGGTCTAGTTGGAACATGTTTGGCTGTGGAGACAGTTACACTCATATTACCAAGCCTTGGCTTTCCTGTCTGTTTTCTTTGGTCTGGGTAGGCAATGAAAAAGGAGACAGGAAAATACATTTTGGGGCAAATAAAATAAGGAATTTGTCTTATGAAGACAGCTTATAGTTTGGAAACGGTAATGTTCAATTTAACCCTATCTTGATACATTCCTCTTGTCCTGCTTATGTGGAAAATAGTGTTTGTAACATCCATAACGTGGTGAGGAATTCTCCATCTTGAAGAATTTTAATAATTCCCCTTCAAGATTTGTTTTTTTTTTCCTTTATGGATGATAATCCTAACAAAGGATAAATTCAGAATCCACTTATCATTGTATGAGTTCTTAGAATCAGCTTCAGTCTCTTAGTATTTTTGCTGAAATACCATAACAGAAATGCTAGGTACAGAATATGAGGAAAGGAAGTTTTTGTGTATTCCTGTTTATGCTTTAGGCATTGTACTTGCTCATCACAGCACCACTCTGCAGAGTTAGAGTTAGCTGTGTCAGACTAGCTTCAGATGTTTTACTGTAATATTTGCACCAAGACACTATCCAGTATCCTCATCTGAATAGAATAATTTGATGACTTCTAGAAAATCTGATTGCCTTACGTACATTTTAATTTACTTATTTATTTATTTTCCAGACTTCTTTTGATCTAAATAAACTAAAAGAGAAAAAGGTTTTTTTTTGTTATTGTTGTTAAATGGACTACTGCATTCGTGTGTTGAGCCAAAGAATATTTTTCAGTTTCTTTTACAAAACCACAGTGGTAAATTTAAAATAAAAAAGCATTCTCTCAGACTTAACAGAGCTTGTTATGCATTGTTTGGGCTTTGGTGTATCACGAACTATCTAGATTCTTCTAGAAAATTTGAGTTTCCTTGCTCATATTTATGGTTTTTTTTTCCCCTTAATTAAAGTTCCAGGTTTGAGTTTTATTTATTTAGAAAAAGATCTCAGAAAGGGACAGTTTTAACATAAAAAAAGAAAAGGTTACTGTGATCATTGTGGAATTTTCCCTTTGGCAAATGTTTGTCTGTTTCTGCCCCAGCTCTCTGACCGTGTGTCTGACATGTGTGAACTCTTTGAGCCTTTGGAGGGGGCCTCCTGCAACATGAAACAAGCAAACATTGCCCAGTTCTCACTTGCCTTCCCCATCCTTTCACTGAGAGTACTAGAAGGGGTGTCTGTAAAGCTCCTCATGAGCTCTCCCAAGTCACTTTCAGGGGCCCTTAAGTCTCAACTGATAGGGCAGAAGTAGAAATGCTTACCACCAGATAATTGTTATAAAGCTACTGGGATTGTAAGGCATTTGTAGACACATCATTATAAATACCAGTATTGTTGATTCCTTGGCTTAAACCTCCAGTATGTATGTTCACATATCTATTTAGTATGGTCAATTGTTCAGCTAATTAATATGCTTTTATTTTATGATTTGCTGTTTCCAGGGCACAGACAGAAGCTTGATGACTCTAAACCTAGTTTGTTCTCTGACCGCCTCAGTGATTTAGGGCGCATTCCTCATCCCAGTATGAGAGTAGGTGTCCCGCCTCAGAACCCACGGCCCTCCCTGAACTCTGCACCAAGCCCTTTTAATCCACAAGGACAGAGTCAGATTACAGGTAAGACAGACTCCTAGGTTTCACTTGCACAGACTGGCAGACTGGGGGTGAGGGGCTACCAGATGAGATGTGTTCATTGCGAAACTCCTGGAGCCACGAAATGGCTTATAATTAAAGAATCAACTTGAGGATACTGCTTTCTTCTTTTTATATGTAAAATTTGAATATTCAATAAGTTTGGGATAAAAGTTTCTGGGGAAACTTATACTGATGCTGTGCTCGGCAGCGTTGTCAACCTACACACTGATTGGGATGATAATAACTGTGCTCTTTGGGAGAATGTTTAAGTTTCTTTGTTGTGTCCGGGTGGTACAGGGTGGTACATCACATCCTCACTATTAGAGAATTAGTATTACTGTCTCGGATTTGGGCTTAAATTTCCTATTTGAATAACTGTTTCATTAAGTTTGCTTAAAAATTTGTCAAGGTCAACAGGAAGCCTTGAGTGGTTGTTTGCAAGACAGGGTCAGTAAGGAACTCGTCTGATTTATATTTAACTCCAATCCATCATGTAACATTTCTCCATATACATTCCAGCAAGCCACTTTACTGTTTTTTCTTAAATATGTCATTAAGACCCCCAACTCTGGTTTTTTTTTTTGTGGCTCTTTTGTACAAAAGCAAAAAAGCAAATCTTATTTTAGGACTAATTTGATTGTTTTTTGATCACTGTTACAAAAGAATGTGTCAATCAACATAGATTTTAATTTTTAGATCACAAAGTATTGAGAGATGAAGATCACTCTGTATGTCATGTAGTTGTTATTGTTGGTGTAGGTAGACTAGAATAGAAGGAAAACAAGTCAAAACAAAGTATGTAAAAAATCCTTAACATTAATCTTTTTATAGATTTTCAACTCTAATGGGTAATCTTGAATGTTACTAATAGTCTCAAAACATAATTGTTTATAATCTAAATAACCCACTTCTCTTCTGTCCATATTGTGTTAATGTATTCTTGAATATTTTCTTGGAGCAGATTTCAGTTTGTATATATATGTAGATATATGAGTATATAGATTTATATACACATGTATTTTTAAAAATAGAGTTATAAAAATAAAACATTCCAACACTGAAGACAACCAAATATCTATATCAAGAAAAAGATCAGAAATCTATGAAAAGCCATGTTTTTGCTAATCTAATGGTTTAAATGTTTATATACTCACTAGACATGTATAGTTGATAAATATGCAAGAGTGAAATTAATATTAACTTCTAACTTTTATGTTTATAGTTATAGGTACTCCTGCATTTAAAATAGTGGACTTCAGATTATTAAGGCTCATAATAACAAATCTCTTTGTATTTACAGTAATTCTTAAACTTTCTGTTTGCACACATTTATGTAAATAGAGGTTCCAGGGCTTGGTAACCATTGATTTCCTTAAATATTTGATTTCTATGTTTTTGTTTTAATTGCTTGCTAATTCTGTCATGTGAATGGCCTATTGCTTTAAAAAAAAAAAAAGGCGAGATCATACAATAGAACCAGAAGTATGATAGATACCGTTAAACCAAAGACTGAAAAAGTTGTGAAGAGCGTTTCCTTTTTAGCAGCCTCTGTGCCCACCAACGGTGCATGCAGGGAGTGAGGCTGTGTAGACACAGTGTCAGAAGATCAGCTAAGAAGGTCAGGACCGTGGCCACTTCCACAGAGAGAGAGAGGCTTCTCTGTTGTCTGCTTCTCTTTAGCCTCCTTGCTGGTTGAGGCTTGTGGAGCTTAACCTCCTTGTCTGTAGTTGTGCAGAAAATTTGGGGCAGGAAAGTGGACATATTCACTGGATACATTTCTTAAAGTGGAAGTATAAAGCAAATTTACTTCTGGATACTGATAGCTTCTTGAAATTTTTATGAGTATAAGCTTTTAATTTGAGGAGTATTAGTATTAGTAGAAATGATTTATGGAATAACGTTCTCTTTAGAAATGTTTTTAAAGGTTGAGAGATGCTAAGAGTAAGAGCAAGAAGGAGAGACATGGGGAGAGAGCTGTCATCTACTGGGTCACTGCAGCAGGCAGGTCAGAGTCCAGATGTGGAGCCAGGAGTCAGCAACTCAGTCTGGGTCTCCCACGTGGGTGTCAGGGACCTAAGCACTTGAGCTGTAACCTGTTGCTTCCCAGGGTATGCATTACCTGTGAGCAGAGCTGGGAATTGAACTCAGGTAGTCCAGTCTGGGATGCACGTGTTTGCATCACCAGGTCAAATGGCTGAACTGCATCTATCTTGTCTTCTCCCCACATTTTTGGTACTGCCCACAAAGGTTTTGGATCCAAAAATTCTTAGCAAACTTTCAAATTTGTAAGTGCACATATACATGATTTCTTTAAATGGGCCCACATTGCTAGTGAGATAACACATGTCTTCCGATAATCAAGTGTTTGAGTTATCTTCAGCTGTTTTCTTGGACACCTTAATAGAGACCTGGATTGGAAGAGGAACAATTGGGACTTGAGCCAGTGCCCAATAGGAGGCAGGTGTTGACTGCAGGTGTTGACTTAATTTGCCACTCGCTCCTACAAGTGCATTTTAAGCAGCATATTTATTATTTTGTAAAAAATATTTAAGACAGACAGAGAGAGGAGGGGGGGATTAGAGAACTAGCTCTTATCTCTCTTGGTTCACTCCCCAGAAGCAATGCTATGACTCAGTTCACCTAGGTGACAGGTACCCAATTAGTGTAGTCTTAATTATTGCCCTCCAGGGTCTGCATTAGCAAGAGGTGGAGTCAGAAATTGAACTCAGGGACTCCCATGCAGGATGTGGAGATCCTAACTGGCATCATAACTGCTTGGCTAATTCCCACCTCCACATCTTCCACATCTGCATTTTAGTTCATGTGGCCATTGGACAAAGGCATTATAATAGGAGGGACCCAGTAGCCTCTCACTGGCTTGGCCCTTCAATATCCAAGCTCTTACCCTAAAATTGTAGATAGCTTAGATTGTGTAGTTGCCGTTAGTTCTCCCACTAACCACCATAAAAGGCAGGGTTCTTTTGGCTTCTAGAAGAGTGAAATGAAATTAGAAATTTTAAGTTGAGGAAGTCATAAACATTTAGTGTTTCAGGATTGTTAGCCTTCTCCAGTGTCTCTTGCTATTCCTAGGACAAAAGCTTGCTTCTTTGAAGTGCTCATCTGATGCTATTAACTCTGTTGAAGTCTTTGAGGTGGATGTTTCCACCATAGTGTTCAGGGCATCCCCTCAGCTTCCAAAGGAAATTGATTCCTCTGCATATCTTAATGCTCTGGTATCTATTACCTGCCTCTGGACACCAGGAAATACCTAGTCTGTCACAAATGCCCACTTTTTTTTTTAACTGAGAGTGTGGTGATCATAGTAGAGTAAGGATACTGTGTCAGTACATACCTCGTTATAATCGCTATTTCAATCCAGTACCCTCTGGATCACTCAGCTACATGGGAAAGTAATTATACTGACTCAGGCCTTTTGAATAGATTGGAACACTAATCTCACTTTAGGACACTGTTCTTCTGTCATTCATTTATTTAAAATGTACTGAGGACCAGGTGTTAATTCAAGTGAACAAGACAGACATTTCTTCCCACAAGTAGCTTAGATTTTAGTATAAGCAAGCAAGTATAGAAAATAGTTTCAAATAATAACAAGTGCTGTGAGAAAATAAAATGAGGTAATTGGCGAAGAGCAATTTGAGGATAGAAAGAGCTCATTTTGATTAGAAGGTTTGGAAAGGGTTCTTTGAATAGATTTAAAGATCTGTGAGAAGCAGCACTTCAGGTTGTGGCAAACTCATGCAAAGGGAATGACAGGAAGTCAGGCAGGGATTAGATTATGGAGACTCTTGAAGGCCATAAGGCACTTGAGTGTTGTGACTGTAATGGGTGCTATTCAAAAATGTGAAGCAACAGGTTTACACATTTGAATAAAATCTGTTTGGATACTGTGTGATGAATAGATCATAAGAGGGTAAAGAGAGAATGACTATGTTTAGGAAGATACTGTAATAACCCAAGAGAGTTAATGGTGTTTGTAGTAGAGACAGAAGGATGCTAAAATTTTCTGAACACTTAGAAAGAAATACAGAGACCTCATATCTTCGAGATATGGTGAGAAGAAGACAGGATATGGGAAATAGAGGCTGGTGGTGCTGTTTACTGACATGGGATGACTTGAAGGATGTGGCTGGGGTGCAATTGGGAAGCTCAGAAAAGCAGTCACGTGGAGAAAGGAGAGGGTGCTAGACAGAGAGAGAGAATATGAATGACATTTTCAGTATGGTAACAGTGCACAGAATTTCCCTTACACCCTATCCAGAGAGCCTACTCTTCCATGGTTATTCCTAGTTCGCAGTATTCCTTGTTGTGATTCCTTTCTCTTTTGAAAGCAGCTGTTGATTCTTAGTTGTTTTTTTTTCCCCCTAACACTCAATGAAAGTTGTTTATCCCTGCATGTAAATACTAGAAGGAAGTGCACAGAACAGTTACCCCCTTTGCTATGGCCTTTGTCAGGAACAGATCTAGGTACTTCTGCATATTCCATTGTGTTGTTTATGGTGGCTTTCTATTTTTGTAATATACAAGCAGCTCATCTGACATTTCACCTTCTATTTTTGGATGCCAAATTAATATGTTATTATATTACATGCATTTGTCTTTCCCTGGATACCTTTCCTTTTATTGTTTTTCTAAACTCATTTCTAGTTTGTCTTCTGAACTTACCCCAAATGCTGCCACCCTAGTCAAGTGTCTTGTAACATAATCAAACTGAATCAAGTTCCCATACCACCTTGTACAGTCCTGTATTAAATCATGTTCTCCGTGATAACTTACTTGCTTGCATGCTTCTCTCTTTTATCAGACTTTGAAAAGCTCAAAGTCTACACCTACGTTTATTCAATGTCCTGTCCCCATTATCCTGCACTCTTTCCTGTTTGATGACTTCTGGTGCTGACATTTTAAAAAATATATAAATTGGAAAGTCAGATAAACAGAGTGGAGGAGAGAGAGAAAATATCTTC